TACTCATGATGAGTGTGTGTACACATGTGTGTGTACACATGTGCGTGTGTGTGTGTTCATGTGTTGCCTCTACGAAGACTCTGTCTCCCTGCAAGAACACTACACTCGTAGTGGCAGACACACCCACTCGACGCGTGCTGTCGTCTCTTGGTGACATGTCCTTGATCACCTCGCGAGGAGTCTGGCCTTTGCTGGGCGATGACCGCGGCGATACCACCACCGCTTTGCAGTGAATGGCAGTCGTTTCCTTGAGTGTCAATGCTAAAGTTCCTAGAAAATCCAACCAATCGTGCATTATAAAGGTAACACAACGCCAATGAAGTGCCGTTTTTATTAAAATGTCAAAGGATAACAGCAGAACCAGACTTTGACATTTGCTCACATTGTATTATGCCAAGTGATAAAAGGGGCGGGGGGAGGGGGTTTGCGAAATATCCAAGACTCTGGACTTGACACTTTGGATGAGGAGAGGGTTAGAGATTTAAAATAATAATAACTGGCAAAAACAGTCTTGAAATCTGGCCACAAATCTTCAGGAAGTGAGAAATGTTGCTAGGACGTGCATCTCAAGAGACAGACTGACACACAGATGGCCCCATCGCACCGACACCACAAGGCATCATTGATATGTACAATTTCCGACGATTTTCCCCTCCTCCCCCCGCATCTTAGTCCATTTTCTTCTTCTTCTCGGCAAACAAAACACGTGGAATTGTGATAACTGGTTTCTAGCACCGATTTAGACTTGGCAGTTTTCGCGAAAGGCTTTTTTCGCAAACATTTCCCTGCTTGCGTGTGGTCTGCACGGTTTCACAACGTACCGTGTTTCAACTTGGCAATGGCAACAAAACAATATAGACCTAAATACTATAACAGAAGAAAACAATGTAAGGGGTCGGGCATTTATTCCATCTCTAATAGCGTGCAGACACACAGGGGATGTTTGCATCTTTAGAGGAGTCGTTGATGTTTGCATCTGCCAGGTGTGCGGCTCGCTCAAGTTTTAATTTCAACTTTGGCAAAAAATTCATTTTCATTCATTCAGCAGCTCATCTTACAAAAATGGAAGCGCTTAAATCATCTAAATACATTTTCCATAATGTTTTGCCCTTTAACCGACAGAATTAATTGAGAAAATGCATGTACGCAATGTATTAATGAAAACATTGCCTCTCGGGGCTTTCAAAAACATCTCATTGCTAAACTTAAAGGCCCGAGAAGCACTCCGCGACATTTGAAACGTAAACATTTACGCACATTGCAATACATTGCAATACATTAAATAGCACCAAATATTTCTGCACCTGCGAGGGAAACAGAACAAAAACAGTCAGTCAGCAAGAAAACCACAAAATAATACAATGAAGAATATAACCAAAATCATCTCGTTATAAAATGGCTGCCACATCCTGCCTAACCATGCAAGTGGAGTGGCTTTCATGAGCTTTAGCAAGATCCTAAACATGCCCTTCACGCTTGGGTAAAGGTGCGGCCCTGCAGTCGATCGCTTTACTAACACCGCTGCCGCTAGGAATGCCTCAACTAGAGGGAGCTTTAGAAAGCTCACGTCGTAGGTATGCTGTTGAAGTGGTCGCAAACGCCCACCACACTTCACCCCGCCACCGATCGACTAACCGCATCGATGGGTTGGGGGTTAGAGGTGGAAAGGGAGAACTTTGAGGGGCCATTTGTGTAGCAATGGTAACATTTCATTTGGGAAACACCACAGACGGGGTACATTCGGCCCTCTAAACCATTAATTTCGACATCCATCCGAGCCATTACACTCATCCACATATATTACGAGCAATTTAATGCTTGTTCACCCAGGAAAGGCCTCAAAGAGTCATGAACTTTTTTGAGAAGGGTCCTGCCAAGTTTTCACAGTCGGGGGGTACAACTGTGTAATGGTGTGGGGTTAGTTTTTCAAATTCGACAAATTCGGACCACGATTCTTGCCCCGCAGTGGCTTGCGCCTGCTGTGAATGACATCACAGGATCTTCAAAGCAGCTGGCGCGCAGTGCTCTCTGGTAAGCGAACACCACGGCATTGACCAGGGCGGCCGCTGGACTCTGTCCGTGAGCTCCTGCGATGAGCAGCGGACGCCGCTGCCGCCACGTCAGTGTCACCATCTGGGGAGGAGCACAAGAAGCAACTCGCGATTTGTTCATCGAATCGAGAATGTATTCTTGGGCAACCACTACGTGAAAATGCAGTCTAGAGCGGCGTGCAATTATGTTATTTTTAATGGAACTGACAAAAGCCAAGGCTTTCAACTTATTCTTAGGTTTTTTCGGTAAAGTCACGTAGGTAAAACATTAAAATTAAAAAAAGTAAAATAAAATAAAATCACGACGTTTCGGAGGCAACACAAGCCTCCGTCTTCAGGTGGAACCGTCACGCCCACGACAGCCGTATCAAGTAAATGAGAGATTGCAGGAGCTACCACTCCGTTTATATAATGGTTGGAGAGGGGGAACGTCGTGATTTTTATTTTATTTAACTTTTATTAATTTTAATGTTTTACCTACATGGTGACTTTACCGAAAAAACCTAAGAATATGAATCCTTGCAGTCACGAAAGCTTCAAATCTAGAATTAAGGCTTTCAACGTCCCGCAAAGAGTCACACATCTCTCTCAGCAACAGCTACCTCAAAAGCAGACGATTCTGAACAAGCCAGGACAAGTTGTTGGCAACCCACCATCCACTTGGAAGCCACACACCAGCTAGCACAACAGTGCTGATGTCCCCCACAAATATACCACCACCACCACCCCCCCGAACATCGCTTGTTACGAGGAATGTAATGATGATGGGAATAATCCCAGTCCCCTGTCCCCTGGGGAGTTATCATCTCGGGGGGTTTTGGTTCGGCGTGAGCCCTTAATAAACGTGGCGTGAGCCCCTAACAGCAACCTGCCGCGGAGTCGTGAGTAGCGCTACAACAGTCCACAAGGACTCTCCAGCCACGTGGCCTTGTGCTGAACAACGTGCACGTGGGTTCTGCGCTCGCAGTTCCTGTTCATCACAACTAAATCAGAATGGGACGATCTTCATTTGAACTCGGATGTATATCGCATGATGATACTGTCAAAACAAATGTTGGTTGTAATGTAGAGATTGCAATCTAATTGTATACATATATTGATGTATATGTGGATATACTGGATACACAATACAAAGTCAAGACAAAGTTTCCCTGTCGTGGCCAATGAAGGCCGGCACGGCACTTCAGGGGTGGTTTGGGTGGCCAGCACCACAGCCTGGTGGCGATGTTTACACAATGCACCAGGTGCTCATTGAAGGCCGAGTCGGCCTAGGGGATGCCCGGAACCGGTTCAGATAATCGTCACCGGTGTCGACCTCGAGCGGTAATCGAACTCGGGTGCCCGGGCGACCTAGCGCAGTGCGCTAACCACTGTGCCACCGCTCCCCCCGCACTCCACATCCACGCGTGTGCATATGAAGGACTTCCAATCAATGCTCCGAGGACACGTCGCCTAGTCGTGCATTGCTCACGGTACTCGGAACACAACGGGACGCCGCTATAAACACAACGCGTGAATCGCAGCTTTATATTCCAGGGAGTGGCTGTGAAAACAATTCTGTTTGGAATAGGGGCTCGGTTATAGCCAACTTATAAAATCAATTACGGCCACACTCTCACTGCACCAATGGGTGACGGCCTCGCCACGCCGTATGGGCTCACGGGGGGATCCAGGATCATACTTGGCCACGATGCCGAGTGAGGGTTGTGTTTGGTGATTGGTGTGGAAAGCAGGAGCGGTTCTGACGTCACTCACAACTAATGCTCGCCGTGGCCTGGAGTCGAACTCGGGCCTGCCAGGCTCGGAGCACAGCGCCGCACTCCAACCCGCCGTACTACAGCAACACGCCGCTCGGCTTATTCACAAGCACGCACCACGGGCTTGACTAAATCGAGTATGAAGTCTAATCCGTACAACGGGAATCCAACAACAATAGTCGTACCCAGTGATAGAGAGAGAGTGTAGTGATGATGATGATGATGCGAAGTGCAGAGAAAAGCTTTTACCTGCAGCAGCAGCTCCCTGTTGTCCCCTCTATGGGGGAAGCGGTGGGCGCGTCGCCCACCGCTTCTGTGCATTCTCTTTGGCGCTGGGATCACGGCAGGCACACTCCTTCTTGCGGTCACAACTGGCTGGAACGGTGATCACCTGCACGCACACACAAAAAGGCACACCAACACCACACAGACACGTACAATCGATTAACTCTTCGAGTGTGAGGAAAACGGTGCCAAATTAAACGCAAAATGCAGTTTTAAAGAAACGAGTATTTGGACCTAGATTTAAAAGTGCTTGCTAAAGTCACTTCCTAAGATCGTGAGGAAGAGAGTCCCAGACGGTCGTAGAAGCGCATGTCTATTGCCAAAAGCTCCCGCGAGGAAGACCGCGGTTTGCGTAATGGTCGATGCTCCTTGACGAGATCAGAAAGGCATTGTGGGTCGTCATTTGTGTCAAGCGCTTTGTGTGTAGAGAGTGCGACCTGACCATGTGTGCGAGTGCAGCGTGGGCGTGCGACTTGGCCACCTGTTTTGAAGGCGGATGTGGACACGCAACAATCCCCTCCGTCGTAGTGCAGTAGGCGTTGTTGTTTACCGGGTCACAGTACCCATCGCCGACCCATAACTGAAGACCACACACGTGCACACACAGCCCACGTACAAATCACGCACGGTAACGATGATACAGATGCGCCTTTTGTTTTACAGCAGAGCAACCTGAGTCTCTGGAAGGAGTGGGAACAATTATGTCAGTTCATCAAATGATGTTGATTCTTAAACTCATGACGCATGCAGTGACCTGACGGGCCTACACACATTGTGTTGTTAATGAAAGCCAGACGCAGCAAGTGCTATTTTATAATTATCACCGTACATATATTATATGCTCCGTGTTGCAATGGTTAGCACAGCTTAAATATTGGTTCGAATTTCTTAAATCCCCCCCCCCGGCCCACCTCCGTCCATCCCACGTGTTATGGAATAAAGTGTGGGCCAACTCCCAACTCGTAACAAGACGCCTGGCCGGCATTGGAAGAGTAGGCCAAGACACCCTCTAGAGGGGCTCTCCAGAGTGGAGGCCATTCTGCCAGCAGCGGTGGCGTTAGCAAGACATTGCAAGGTTTCATCTTCACCTCGAGAAAAAGAGACAAAGATCCCCCGACAAACAGTCGGGGCAAGTGCTGTTAGCGAGTAGCAGCACCTGTGAAGACCGCAACGACACACGAGGGGGGGTGGGTGGCCAGCACCACGCCCGGCCGCCTTTGTCTCCCCAGTGGCGATGTTTACACACCGCTACACCAGGTAACTCATTTGAGGCCGAGTCGACCTAGATAAGGCTCGGAACCAGTTCAGATGGTCATTGCTGGTGTTGGCCGTGAGCGGGAATCAAATTTTGGGGGTTCGTAGCGCAGCACGCAAACCACTACACTACCACTCCCCACTAACGTGTGTACTGTATACACACACTACACTCCCACTAACGTGTGTACTGTATACACACACTACACTACCACTAACGTGTGTACTGTATACACACTACACTACCACTAACGTGTGTACTGTATACACACTACACTACCACTAACGTGTGTACTGTATACACACACCACACTACCACTCCCCACTACTGTGTACTGTATACACACACTACACTACCCCTCCCACTAACCTGTGTACTGTACACACACTACACTACCACTCCCCACTAACCTGTGTACTGTACACACACACTACACTACCACTCCCACTAACGTGTGTACTGTATACACACACTACACTACCACTAACGTGTGTACTGTATACACACACTACTACCACTCCCACTAACGTGTACTGTATACACACACACACTACCACTCCCACTACCTGTGTACTGTATACACACTACACTACCACTCCCACTACTGTGTACTGTATACACACACTACACTCCCACTAACCTGTGTACTGTACCACACTACACTACCACTCCCCACTACCTGTGTACGTGTACACACACTACACTACCACTCCCACTAACTGTGTACTGTATACACACACTACACTACCACCACTACTGTGTACTGTATACACACACTACACTACCACTCCCACTAACTGTGTACTGTATACACACACTACACTCCCACTAACTGTGTACTGTATACACACACTACACTACCACTAACCTGTGTACTGTATACACACACTACACTACCACTAACCTGTGTACGGTATACATATGAAGTACCCTTGAAGACGCTTGGACACCGTTGTAAGGCACACGTGTTTATTTACACAATGGTCGTACAGCACTAGAGGGGTGTATCGGCCCCCTCACCCGTATAACTGGGGATACCCTCTAGCTATCCCTGACCTACCCGAGTCCTCCACTAACGGGCTAGGGGAGGCTGTCTGGCCCGACACTGGTCAGTCGGGCTACGGTACCCGGAGTCCCAGAGTACTAACTCTGGTTCACGGGACCACGCCACTGGCTCCGTCCTGCGCTGCCCTTATAAGGGCGGCGTCCCAGGGGAGTCCAGGGCCTATCTGGTCGATCTTCCGTCTTCCCCTATTTACTCTAAGACTGAACCCCGAGCTCTCTGGCTCATCCCCTTTTATACTCCCCCAGAGGATCACAACCCCCCCTCACGCCGCCCGGTGCGGACGTCGTTGCGGCACCACCCCGTGTACTGGCGGAGTCCCCGCCCACTGTTTTGTCATCCGTTAGATCCTATGCAAACAGCCCTACACAAACAGCCCCTCTGTAACAGCCCTACATCACCCCCCCCTGTACAGCTCGCAGCCGTCCCGGCTGCAACAACTTCAATAAAGGTTTATTAACCCCTTGATCTCCGCGTGTGCCTCAAAAAAACGTTTTTAACCATAACGTGAAGGGAACAACAAAAACCAACAACCCGAAGGGAAACAATCCGACGCACCCCCCTGAATAAACACGAATTCCGTAAGAGCGACGTATATACAGTTTTAGCAGGGAACCCCTAGCACACACGCAACACAACACAATGTGGCAGGAGCTCCCCACCGACGCAGCACCCCGCAACCATACACAAGAGAAATAAGTCTCCTTTAATGCATTATAAGAGTCTGCGCATTTTTGCGCGCGTCCTTGCTGCAGGCCCGTCACACGGGGCAACCCCGGATGGCGGACCGCCCGGTGGCAGCTGTTCATTCCGTATTGAGTCCGCGTTTGACGTCGCGAGACCCTCGGCATCCCCCGTAGCGGTGGTTGGGTGCGAGCCCGTCAATCCCGGTGCACCTGTGGGCGGGACAGCTGGCGACACGTCAGGCGAGGGCAGCAGAGACGGACCCTTGAGTCGGCCGACCCCCCACGTTTGGCCACGCGTGTGTAGAGTGGGGCCTCGCACCGCAACGAATGGTTTAAGTCTCGAGGGGTGCACAAACCACGGCGCTTCCCCCATTTGATGCGAACACACTGAGGCCGCAGAACCTCGACCACCTCGACAGGACCCCTCCACGGCCGCCCCAGTTTAGAGGATGTCGCGAGTGGTACCTGGGGGCAGTGCAGCCATGCCCTGTCCCCCGGCTTCCACTGCAGCACGTGCGCGCGACCCAGTCTGAGGCGCTCATTTGCCTTCTGACGCTGTTCTGAATTTAGCATGGCAGCAACCCCGCGTGCAATTCCCATGCGTCGGCATCACCCGATCCCCGCCCGCCTCCCCGGCGCGACGGCGCAACGCGAGGAGGGAGGTATCCTCCATCTGGAGGCGCCCCCATTCCTGAATGTGCAAACCCAGCAGGGAATCTTTCCCTTGTTGTTCAATAGAATTTGGAACAACTGTCCCGCCGTCGGCGGCGGCCGCAAGGACCGGAACCGACATGTCCCCTGCTGGCTTGCAACGTCCCGACCCCAGGAGGCATGCACATTCTGAGGTGGTTGGCATGCGCGACAGAGCGTCCGCGTTGGTGTGGCGAACGCCCTTACGGTAGGTGGTTTCGAAATCAAAATCCTGGAGGATCTCCAACCATCGGGACAATTGTCCCGATGGCTGTTGAACTCGCAGGGCGTACTGCAGTGCCGCATGATCTGTGCGGACGGTGAAACGCCGACCGTACAGATATGGGCAATACTGTTGGATGAAATAGACAATTGCCAACAGTTCTCTGCGGGTGACACAATATCTTTGCTCTGTGAGACAACACCCGACTGCCGTACGCAACCACCCGTTCGACGCCGTCAACCACCTGGGAAAGCACGCCCCCAATACCCGTGTTGCTCGCATCGGTGTCGAGCAGAAACGGTTTTGAAAAATCGGGGTAAATCAAGGGAGGAGCTTTTACCAGGGCGTCCCGAAGGGAGCAAAAAGCAGCCTCCTCCTCCTGACCCCAGTGGAACCGAACCCCTTTTGATGTTAAGGCGTGTAGGGGTTTGGCAATTGTTGCAAAGTCGGCGACGAACCTCTGTAATACGACGCGAAGCCGACGAAACTCCTGACCTCTCCCACCGAGGTGGGAGTCGGCCAGGAGCTGACACACTGCGTTTTGGCGGGATCGGTAGCAATACCCGAGCGCCCTACGATGTGGCCCAAATAACGCACGGAATCGCGTAACAAATGACATTTTTGGGGCTTGAACTTCAAATTAGCAGCCCGCATCTTTAGGAAAACCGCCCGCAACCTCTGGAGATGTTCGTCAAAAGTTTTAGCGAAGACAATAACGTCATCCAAATAAATCAGGCACGACTCCCATTGCAATCCAGCCAAAACCAATTCCATCAAACGCTGGAAGGTTGCCGGCGCTGAGTGTAAGCCCATCGGCAACCGGTTGAATTGGAACAGGCCGTGCGGTGTACGGAAAGCAGTTTTAGGTTTCGATTCATCATCCAGAGGAAGCTGCCAGAATCCCGAAAGTAAATCCAGCGTGGAGAAGAATCGCGCTCCCGCCAAGGCGTCCAGCGATTCGTCCATCCGTGGGAGCGGGTATGCGTCGGCAACCGAAATTTTGTTTAGGCGCCGAAAATCAACGCAAAACCGCAACGAGCCGTCCTGCTTTTTAACCAGGACGATCGGCGCTCCCCAAGGGCTGGTAGAGGGAGAAATAATGTCGGCGGCTAACATGTCATCAACGGCCAATTTGACATGGTCCTTTTCGGCGGGACTCAACCGAAACGGATTTTGGCGAATTGGCGCG